ATTGCAAAAAAACTCGCCTAAATAATACGTGTTAAATAGAGTGTCCGGCATTAGGTGCCGTCTGGCGTTACGGGACTTTCCCTAAGTAAAATCATAGGGATGAGTGTAAAATATCTAAGTTTGCAATATAATCTAAATTTCGATTATATTTTAGCAAATTAAGTTGCTCTACTCTTATATATCAATATAATTACTGATTATGAAACAAATGAGCAAATAATTAATTAATTAATTTGAATCAAGTATATAACAGTTTCCTCACATAAATAATGCCATATATAAGCATTAGGACCTACTTTGGTTTCTACTTTTTCATTGAAATTATTTCTGCAAATTATCGGTTGGTATTTAGGATTTGGGATACACTAATCGTATGCTTGGAAAGTGGCATTAGGACATTACAAAAGGAGTACACTCTTTGTACAGGGGTTTCGATCTCATATAGGGCATGGGCAGGACATCATGATTACTACGACACCACCGTTAGCGAAAATTCCTGGTTCGGATTAGATATGCGCAGAGGTAAGTTAACACAGTACAATTAATAATAATGAATATAAACAATTTTATTCCTTCCACAGGTTTGGAAGCTGCATGGGATTTGCACGGGCAGTATACTACCGATGTATATTCCAAAGAAGGTGTAAAATTGTAGAAAATCACAATTCTTCCGAACCACTATTTTTATATGTAGCTCATACCGCAGTACATTCTTCCAATTCCTACAGTCCTTTACCAGCACCTGATAATGTAGTCGATAGTTTCAACGGCATCGAAAATTATCAAAGGAGAAGATTTGCAGGTTAATTTACTGGAATCTGATTTTTAATCCGGTTTATCCTAACAATTGTTTGAATTTACAGCGATTTTAACAAAAATGGACGATGCAATTGGCGAGTGGTGGAAGCATTATCTAAGAAAGACATGCTGAAAGATAGTATAATTATCTTCTCAACAGATAATGGTGGTGCTCCAGCTGGATTTAATTTAAATGCTGCCTCCAATTGGCCACTCAGAGGGGTACAATCATATAAAATATATACTTAAAATAATATCCTGCCTATTCGTTATGATCTTCAGTTTAGAATTTTTAGCAGTAGTCCCATTGAACATAAATTGGTAACAATTCAACTATAGATTATGAATTGATTTTAATCTTTAGGTAAAATACACGTTGTTTGAAGGTGCCGTAAGAGGCGCCGGATTAATTTGGTCACTCTAATTAAAAAATCTCAAAGAGTAAGTAATCAAAGAATACATATCAGTGACTGGATGCCGACGCTATTTTCCGCTATTGGAGCTAATATATCGTTAGTATAATGATAAAACTATTATAAATTAGTGCTGTTGAAGACAATTCAATAACCAATGTTAAATTTTTAAGAATAAATAATTTGGATGGCATGGATTTAGGAAAAGTTTGTCTGAAGATGCACCGTCGCCAAGAAGTGAGATTTTATTAAATTTGGACGATAGGTATAAACAAGCTGCAGTCATCGATGGAAGATATAAACTAATGCAAGGTATTATGAAGCTGAAATTTGAATAGATTTGCTTTATCATAATTATGGTCTATTAACTTTTTGAAATCTCGGCTTAATACACGTACATTGGTACCTACTATTCAGTAGAGTCGATCACTAATTAATGATACATTGATAATTACGTTACCTAATTTTCAAAAACGAAATATTTTGATAACAAGCAAGGCCACAGATGATTTTTAAATAAGATAAACGAGACCCACAATCACGAATTTCTAGACTTTGAGGTGATCGCGATCGACCTGTGGACTGCCATGATATTTTACCGTGCCATGATATTTTACCTTTATGAGAAAACGCTTATTGAAAAAAACTTATGAAATTTAATTTATATGAAATTCGTATTTTAGTACAATCAGAATATATTTGATAAACAATTTCTGTTCCACAGTTTTGCATTAGACTGTGTATCCCCATTTGGCCATATTGGAAGACCCATCTTGATATTAGATAATGGCAGATAATTCTATATTTGAAAGGATAGACATTCGATATTGTTTTATTAAGGTGACCATATCACAAGGTGTCCCGGTTTTTTCTAAAAATAATATTTGTCCCGGATTAGATTGTTATAGTTTTTAAAAACTATAGGTCTAAATTGAATCTTCGCTCTTACTTGATAATTAATTGATTTAAAAAAATATTACTCTTAAAAAAAAAAACAAATTTTAAATAGTATTTTTTATTCTAAAATCATATTAAATTTTTTAGCATACATCCCTCCCCCGTCCAGGACTTACCGTCTCGGTTTTGACATAAAAAATATGATCCTTAGTTTTTTATATATTTAAGTGTAATTTTGAGTACGGAGCAAGCAAATCATCTTATTTATTTATTTATTTCTTTGGTATCTCTTTACCATACACATTTTCTGCATGCATTTTTTTAATAAAATCGTTAGATATAATATTTCTCCATATTGTTATTTCTTTCATATTATTAATTTCTAATGAAAATTTGCCTCTATGTTCTATATAATTTGCGCAGAGTCCAATTATATATATAACTATCACAAATTTGTACCAGAATTATATGAAGTTTTTACAATTAGTACCTACTCTCCCGCTAATTGAACATTGATTAAAAAAACTTTGCGAAAAACGAAATTAAATTTTTGAAAACGAAGAGTAAACAATGATTCGATAAATAATAATTCATTAGTTGATGGAAGTAAAAATTAGCAAATCATCTCTTAAAATTAGAAATGATATGCTAGCAATATATACATATTTGAAAAACATATATATGTATAAATACCAATTTATACAAACGTTTAAATATTTGCAATTATATCAGGAGACATTTTCAACGGAGGATGGAATGGTTTGGTATGGACCGTCTGGGCGCAATATTACATATAATATGGACAAAATCTTAGCAAGTAAAACTAGAAAGGCTTGGAGAAACTGGGATATGCTCCAACTCCAGAACAAATTACCTCCTAAGGTGAACACAATTTATTTAATATAGTAAACTCTATAAAAAACATAAAACATAATGAGGCTGAACATAAAAAAACACAAAAACATAAATTTCTAACAAATAAAAAATGATTTTTTTAGCTAATTTGCTGTATTAATATTATAAAAATAACTGTAAAAATTTATGTAACAAATATTTCAGAAAACAAGCTGATCTCGAATGCCCTGAAATTAAACCATCAACTGAATGCAATTTGAAAATGGGCCCTTGTGTATTTGATCTTGTTGCTGATCCATGCGAACAAAATAACTTAGCTCAAAGGTAAGAAAATAATACAAAATTGAATAAATAATATGTAATATAATAAACTATAAGTTATTTTCTATCGTAATAACTACAGGTCTGAAACTTCATTTTTGTAGAAATTTTTAATTATATAGGGAATACACCGATATGTATCAGGTACAGTTAGTGAATAATCTAGTTTAATATTAGTTATATTATTTCGTTATTAGACTAATGATGTAACAAAATAGACTTTAAATTATGATATATAGGATTGCACATCACTAGATTTCTAAATGTCAACAAAACTATTTTGACCAATCTAAAATTTCATAATTTTATACAATTTTCACTTGAAAATAAAGATAGCAATATCTTTCCAAGTGAAAATAGCCCTTGATTCACCAATAAGAAGTTAGCCCTATTAGAGAAATCGTAGTACTAAAATCATCAAATATGGATGGATTAACCATTGGGTTACCATCTAAAAACACGAAGGAGAAGTTTCAGCCCAACTGCTTATAGGACGTAAGATTCTGATCGCTGTTAAGATTTTTTTTTATTATCTCTTTGATATCAAATAAATTTGATGAATTTACAATAGTCGGCCGAAAAGATATGGGTAAAAAAAAATGAACAAAAAATTCGTCCTCTTTACATTAAATACAACTGGGCCTGCTGGATATTGACAAAAAATACTGAATAACGCTTACATTTAAATTAATTTAACATATCTTTTACTTTTATATTTTTGTATTTTTAGTGAACCACAAATACTAGAAAAATTACAAGATTTACTGGCTACCTACAACTCTAGTTTTATTATGCCTCCAAGCAACCTACCAATTGATCCGAGATCCAGGCCGAGTCTCTTTGATCATACCTGGTCAAACTTTGGCGATCATAACATTACTTTGCCCTTGTAATAATAAATAGCATATAAGATTACATTTTACATATAATATGTGATATGAAACAATCAATATCTATTTGATAAAGAAGATATTTGCAGTGTTTTATCGATTAATTCATGTGCAGTAAATAAATTGTTGCATAAATTATTAACCTGTTATTCTTATCATTCTGAAGTAATAAAATAAATGTGTGCGCTGAGACCAACGCGGAGAATTTATTTCTAAATGTTTCCATGTTAGACGAAGTAAAACACAGTTTGACATAGTTAAATCTTATATATAAAGTGTGTTAATAATTGAATTTGGTTTTCCATAATTTAAAGACTTCGACACAAAGATCTAAGGATTTAATCAAATATGTGATAAGTGTTTTTAAAACGTTGCTTTTAAAATCGTGATTTCTAAAGTGTAAAAAATTAACATCATAATCAATAATATATCAAAATGCTTACGTTCATCACTGACAAAATTATTGTATTATTAATTTAATACATTTTTATTACACTTTAATAAATAATATCACACCTGATAAGTTAATATTATTGATTTAATACTATAATCTCATCTAAATATTGACTTCGTCATTAGCAATATCATAATCTTTATTAGCCGATTAACTAAAATTTTATCACACAAATTTATACGATGTAAAATGTAAATTATACGTTTATTTATTTGTATAATTGCAAAATGGCTAGCCGAGAAAATATTTTTTTGTGCTTTTTAATATTTGTGTCAAACTGCTGTAGCTTGAGCTTTTGCGAAAATGTTAAAAGACCTCATATAATATTTATTTTGGCTGATGACTTGGTAAGTTAATTATATATTTATTGTAAATACTATTGTAGAAAATATATGTGTTTAGAAACAACATGTTATTATCTCTCTTATCGATGATGTTATTATAATACTTGAAATAAATCTAGTATCAGCTGATACATAGATTTGTGAAGTAGCGAATAGTGTCAATTGTGGTATTATTTTTAAATTTTTGACAAACATAAAAAGTTTAAGAGAGTTTAATTTTTTATAATTATTTCTGAATTTTCAATCGATTTACATGATAAATGTTCCAAAATTAGCAAAAATAAAAATTGATTTATTAATTAATTATAAATTAATAATTTTCAAACACGCAAGTAAACTGTTTAATATATTGGCAAAAGTGCAACTGAATCAACGGCAATGTTGATTCAGTTGCCACAAGAATAAAATTATACAAGTGATGATTTGCACATCTCAAAGTTTCCTTTATCAGTAGTCTAAAAAGAAATGTTTTAAGGTGTTGTTCAGTTTTTTTTACATTTTTTCATGTTCATAGACTTTTTTCATGGTTTGATTTTACTATACAGAAACTATAATATTTCAGGGTTGGAATGATGTCGGATTTCATGGTTCATCACAAATTCCAACACCTAACATAGATGCCCTTGCCTATTCTGGAGTGATTTTGCAAAACTATTACGTTCAGCCACTATGTACACCATCAAGAAGTGCTCTAATGACTGGAAAATATCCAATTCATTTAGGTAATGGCCATTAATATTATTAGACATAATTTTACTAAAAAACCTTCAATGTTGTTCAAAAAACTTGTTTAATGAAATTGTCCAGGTAGAGTCAAAACATAATATTATTTTCTTTTATAAGCTCAAGAATTTGCAATTCAAAACGAATTTCATTAAACACTATACAGAAATGAATATTTCTATACATAATGGTATATGTCACATCTAGGATATCTTTGTTTTTTTTTGTTCTGATTTGATTTTACTGTGTTTAATTAATTTTTTTCCCCCAAAAGCAATCGTTTTGTCAATACAAGCTGAAAGTTATTTGAATCATTCAAATCGGATGCTTAGTCCTCTCAAAAACTGGTATTTTATGCTATTTTTTATTGTTATTTTTACTGCTATTATTATTATTTTTCTTTTGATTCCTCTCCTTTGTGTCACAATAGCTTATAAGATTAAATTGTATCTTGATTGCTATTAATAAATAAATAAGAAAAAATTGAATATAGCAAAAAGCAAATAGTAAATATAATAAATTCATAAATCTTGTATAAATTTTAGTATGAATCGATGAATCGATAATGTATTACAATTCCATTAGACAATTTTATTGTTTAAATCTGCACAGATTTGCAAGGCGTTTCATATAGAACAATTATATTTACCATAAATATTATTTATGTAGCTTCAAAATTCATACAATAAATTAACTAAATTAGGAATGCAGCACAAAGTTATAGACGCCGGAGAACCACGTGGTCTTCCTTTAGGAGAACGTTTGCTTCCTCAATATCTTAAGGTATGAATACTAGTTCCTATATACGTTTATTAAATTTTCTAAAATTGTACAAATAATATAGATTGCAGTTCTAATAATTTATTATATTGATCTATTCTAATAATCTATTATAATAATATTATATGATTCTCAAAAAATTATATTATCAAAATAATGAAGCGCTTTATTTAGAGAATATGAGTAAAATTATTAATAGATCAAACGAAATTTTCTTTATTATTTTGTATTTTATATATTTTTAGGATTTAGGATATAGTAATCATATGATTGGTAAATGGCATTTAGGACATTACAAAAAAGAATATACACCTTTATATAGGGGATTTGATTCACATCTCGGAATTTGGTCCGGATATCACGACTATTATGATCATTCTGTCTATGAAGAACCATGGTACGGTTTGGACATGAGGAGAGGTAAATTCAGCCATAAGAAGATATAATTGATGAAATATTACCAGTCTAGCAAAAAAGTGAATATTTCTATAAATAATTTGCATATTAAATTTTGGATGTAAATTTTATCCTCTATTTCATTTAACTATTCTGTACTAAAACTTTATTCTGAAATTTATGTAATAATTTTTGATCATTCGATCAAAACAATTCGATTTTGATCATATTAAAATATCTTGAAACCTTTTATCGGACTAGACTATATTTCTAAAAATATTTTTAGGTATGGATGCTGCTTGGGATTTACACGGTCAATATTCAACAGATGTATTTTCGCAAGAGGCTGTTAAAATTGTAGAAAATCATAATACAACTAACCCTTTATTTTTATATATGGCCCATGCTGCTGTTCATTCTGGAAATACCTATAATCCTTTGCCAGCACCTGATGAAGTGGTTGAAAGTTTTAAAGGAATTGAAAATTTTCAAAGAAGAAAATTTGCAGGTATAATTTTAGCCAGTTTGTACGATCAAATTGAATTTTTTTACTGGCACCTCTGAACGAAATTATAATTTTAGATGCCGACAGGTATAATATAAAGTCAAGACAATGAAAATTTGATAATTATCATTGTTGGTTACCTGTAAATTTTAAAGTCAAATAAACATTTAACCACTGATGCTTATCTTAGATAAAAATCTCAAAAGCTATGCAAAAACCGTTAATTTATTTCTGATAGATTTATATGTTAATACGTGGTTTATAATTAATTGAGTAATATTTTAATAAAATTTTAAAGCCATATTAAAGAAAATGGACGATGCTATTGGAGATCTTATAGATGCTTTGGCACGCAAAAATATGCTGAAAGATAGTTTAATAGTTTTTTCTACTGATAATGGAGGATCTCCTGTGGGAATAGGTCCAAATTCAGCATCCAATTGGCCACTTAGAGGGGTAAGGATTGTTTTTGTTATAAATTATTAAAATGACATACTTTTGACGTAAATTAGTTATATTAGAAACGATATATTTTGACGATAAAAAATTACAACTAATTCTTGATATTTTATAGCTATAACGCTATAAAATATCATGCTATAGATTTTATAAAGTGTTTGAATAATCATCAACTTTTATCTGTCTACTATGATTTAAGCTTGATTTGATTGAGAGATTTGATTTAATGATTTTAGGCTAAATTCACATTATTCGAAGGCGGCGTAAGAGGAGCTGCTGCAATTTGGTCGCCTCTAATTAAAAAATCTCAAAGAATTAGTAATCAGAAGATGCATATTAGTGACTGGTTGCCTACATTACTGTCAGCAATTAAGGCAGACATTCCGTAAGAAGTATTAGCATATACATAAAACAATACATAAAATAAGTAAACTTCATACTTTCAAAATAAAATTACTAAATTGTGGTTAAATACTTCAGTATAAAAGACTTGGATGGATTAGATTTATGGAAGGCGCTATCTGAAGACAAACCATCACCAAGGAATGAAATTTTATTGAATATTGATGATATTTACGGCCAAGCAGCTCTGATTAACGGAAAATTTAAGTTAATAAAAGGTATGAATGAAAGAAATATACGTTATTTAGTTCAGATCCGTGGTTTTCAACCTGTGGGGCGCTAGGAGTACCTAAAGCTGGTTCCAAAATATTATCTTCAAAAGTAAACTAAAATTTAGCAATGGTATACAGAAATTAACAAAACAATTTTTTTATGTGCATTTTTACATATATTGCATAATAATTTCTAGTTTGATAATATCAGTCGAGTATTTATGAAATTAAATTGATGAAAAAAATTAAGGGATGCGTATTTTTTCTGATAAGGATGAGGTGGCGCAATGCAAAAAAGGTTGGAAGCCACTGGTATATCATATACTCGACAAAAGTAATTATTACTATATGTTTTATTGATAAACAGTTTTTTACACACTTTGATTAAATTTGTCGTATATTTATTTCCCTAAACCACAATTCCTAAACTATTGAAAATAAGTCTAAATTGGCACCTCAAATTTTGTTCGGTATTTGTCTAACTACAGCAGCATTATATTTATCGTTTTCCAGAAAAATATTACTTATTCAAACATATGCCAAATATTAAATAAATGTATATTAAAATGATATTTTATTACTAGGTGATATATTTGATGGAGAATTGAATGGTTGGTATGGACCTTCTGGAAGAAACGATATTTATGATATTGAGAAAATGATTGACAGCAAAGTTGGTAGAGCAATGAAACGTCTTGGTCAATACCCATCAATAAATAAAATTAAAAAATTAAGGTAAAAATTGCTAACATGCTAAACAACACAATGCATCAAGTCTAATTAAATAATTCTGTTTTTAAAATATTTCATTCGAAATATTATGGTCTTTTATTGCATTATTAAGCCTTCTGAGCACTTTAATGGTAATGTAGCAAATGACCTCATAATTTTTATATAAACTTTATTTTAGATATAGTTCAGAAGTCAAGTGTTCAGAAACAAAAGCCTCATCATCATGTGTTTTGAAAAATGGTCCTTGTTTATTTGATCTCATTGCTGATCCTTGTGAACGCAACAATTTAGCAAACAGGTAACTGAGTGATAATAATAATTTACTACTAACCGTTTACAACATAAATTTATTGTTTTATTTTATAGAAAACCAGAGATCTTAAATAAACTCTTAAATTTGCTGGACAAATACAATTCCACTATAGTTCCACCAGGAAATTTACCTAATCATCCACAAAGTAATCCTAGCTTATGGGATCATACTTGGACGAATTTTGGAGATTTTGACACTTCAATTGATTGACAATATTAACACTGGCAGGATAACTTAATTAATAAAATTTTATTTTTTAAAAGATTTTTTTAGAAATATAGTTCAGCTTGTCACAAAAAATATTAATTTCTATAGCACTTTTCTCATATAATTGTTATTACTTTAACAGAAACTATTACTATAATTGTTATTACTATAACAGAAAATTTCACTCTATCAGGTACTGTCAATTTAATATAAAATTGAAAATAATGCCATCTTTTAATTAAATTTAAGACTGATTTGTAATATTAGAATTTGTCGATATGATATTGTTAGAATACAAAATTATATATAGAATGCGGACCTGATGAGGATATCTATCTAGGAGTGAAAGAGGGGGTATCTCCATCATGGTATAAAAGAAAGAAGTTTCAACAAAATCATTCTATTTCGACTGCCTGCCCAAAGGAATAATATACCTTGTATTATTGTATAAATAGAATACTGTTATGTAAATATTATCAAAGTAATAAATTTTATTTTACCATTAACATTGGTTATGGGCCCAGATAGAAGCCCAGGTGAAATCCCAGGTAGAATCCCAGGTACAAGTCCAGGTAGAAGCCCAGCGTACTGAGCGAGTTCGGGAATCTAGAGACTGATAACGATTAACGGGATCCTGACGTAAACAGTGAGTGTTTTTGAAGTATAGAATTTAAAGTGTAGTGTTGTTTACAAAAAGATGACGTCTTCAATCAAAATCGAACCATTGTGCGAGGAGAACTATGATGAATGGAAAATTCATTTAACAGCCATTCTGAAGAAGAATGACTTATGGGGATATGTAAGCGGCGAAATAGCGAAACCGTTGACCGCCGAAAAATATGCGGAATGGGTTATAAATGACGGAAAAGCGCAATCTGATTTGGTACTACACATGAGAGGAAAAAAATTAAAAATGTGCGCGCGTCTCGGTTCCGCGAAAGCGATATGGGACAAATTGCAGGAACTATTCGAAAGTCGGGGTGCAACGAGGCGAACAACTCTCATGAAAAAATGCGTAACATTAAAGATGCATGAAGGCGATGATTTGGCAAAACATGTGACAGATTTTTGTGAAACTGCTGCGAAACTCAACGATATCGGCATTGTAGTCCCAGACGAAATGCTGGTAACGTTACTAATGCACAGTCTCCCTGAATCATTCGCAATGTTTAAAGAATCCATAGAAGCGCAGGAGAAGTTGCCAACACTGGAAGTTTTAAAGGTTAGATTGTTTGACAGAATTCAAGGCAACAAACTAGATGAGGAAAATAAACATTCACAGGGGATACTTTATTCGGAAAGAATAAATAAGGAGCCATCAGATCATAAATCGAATGCTGCATATCGAAGAAGTATATGCCATAAATGCAAGAAAGTCGGACATTTTGCACGTGATTGCGTAACCAAATTTGAATCACGTCGGCAAATAAAGTGTCATAGATGCGAAAAAGGAGGACATTTTGCTCGAGACTGCCGATCGAGGTATCCAGCCGGTAAGCAGTCCACAACATATAGTAGTGAACAAAGCGTGTTGTTTGGCTTTAATGAACAATCATCATTACCAGACAATATTTGGTGCTTAGATAGCGGGTGTACAAGCCATATGTGTCATCAAAAGAATAATTTTGAAAACCTTAATCGATCAAATGCGGAATTGAAACTGGCTAATAACGACTGTACTGTTATTAAAGGAATTGGAAATATTCAGACCACGTTTGAACAAAATAAAGATAAACACGTGAGATTAGAAAATGTGTTATATGTTCCAGACTTACGAATTAATTTATTATCAGTATCTAAAGCCACTGATAATGGATATAAAGTGATTTTTACACGAAAGAGTGCATTTCTAACTAAAGAAGGCAAGATTGAATTGAAAGCACGTCGTCGAGGTGATTTATATTATATTAATGAAAAAGTGAATTCAGCGAAAAGTGTGAGTGAAAATACGAAGGGTATTGATGTGTGGCACAAAAAAGTTAGGGCACTTGAATGAATATGACATTAAAGCAATGGTTAAAAATAAAAGAGTGCACGGTTTAAATGTAAATATTAATAAAAGGTTAACAAATTGTGAAATCTGTGTTAGTGAAAAACAAACGAGATTACCCTTTCCAAAATCGAAGGAGATTCGTACGAAGAATTTATTAGAAATTATACACAGTGATGTATGTGGGCCAATGAGAGCTCCTTCATTCTCAGGTATGAAATATTTTGTAACGTTTATTGATGATGCATCACGTTGGTGTGAAGTATATTTCATAAAGTGTAAATCCGAAGTACTGAGTGCATTTAAGCAATATAAAATGTATGTAGAAAACGAAACTGGACACAAGATTAAAGCTTTGCAGACAGATAATGGCAGAGAATATTGTAATAATGAATTCAATAATTTTTTAAATAATAATGGTATCAAAAGACGGCTTACTTCACCGTATACGCCTCAACAAAATGGTGTAGCCGAAAGGAAGAACCGGACATTGATAGAAATGGCACGTTGCATGTTAAAGCAAGCGGGGGCACCACAACGGTTTTGGGCTGAGGCTGTTTGCAATGCCAATTACACTAGAAACAGATGTCCAACAAGTGCACTAGATGGATGTATACCATATACGGTATGGACTGGAAAAATTCCAAATTTAGGTTATTTACAAATATTTGGATCAAAAGCATATGTTTTGATTAAAAATGGTAATATCAAAGGAAAATTTGATTCGAGATCTAAACCTGGAATCTTTGTTGGTTATTCGAATAATGCTAAGGCTTATCGAATATATATACCGGGAAGCAATAAGATAATTGAGAGCAGAGACGTTAGATTCTTGAACTATTCTGGATTTAATAATGAATATAGTGAGATATATAGTGAAAATGGTTATGATGTATATTTAAAATTAGGAAATGTCGAGCAAAATACAAACCATGAAAGACCAACACAGCAGCAATCAAAACGTGGAAAAGGGCGTCCTAGGATTATTCGGACAGGTCATGCGGGAAGGCCGCGAAAAGAATACCAAATAAATAAAGAGATGATCGAAGATACATTAGGAGAATCCTCTGGAGAAGGGGAGGTTGATAAAGAGATTTCAAACGAAAACAATGTGATTAGTGAAAAATGTGAAATATTTGAAAATGCTTTTAATATATCCAAAATTAATATTACGACTTGGGAACAAGCTAGTCAGCTAGGTGATGCTGACGAATGGAGGAAAGCGTTAGAAGACGAGTACCTTGCGCAAATCAAAAATATGTCATGGGATATAGTTGAGAGACCCACACAAAAGAAAGTTATTGGAAACAGATTTGTTTTTACAACAAAATTAGATGGAGAACCTAATAGAAAAAAGGTGCGGTTAGTTGCAAAAGGATGTTCACAAAAATATGGTGAAGATTTTTGTGAGACATATTCTCCGGTGGCTTACTAAAGGTTTGACTAGAAATAAACACGAAGAGTGTCTGAGGAGAATTGGAATGGATGGACTGCAAATAGTATAATAAATATAATTTTGAGGGGAGGTGTTAGAATACAAAATTATATATAGAATGCGGACCTGATGAGGATATCTATCTAGGAGTGAAAGAGGGGGTATCTCCATCATGGTATAAAAGAAAGAAGTTTCAACAAAATCATTCTATTTCGACTGCCTGCCCAAAGGAATAATATACCTTGTATTATTGTATAAATAGAATACTGTTATGTAAATATTATCAAAGTAATAAATTTTATTTTACCATTAACAGATATAGATGATAAGAGTAAAATAATCGATTAGCTTTGAGTGAATCACGATTTGCTAATATTTTTGAATATTCATTTACCTAGCAACTTTCTTAATCTTATGTTCAAAGTATTTCGAACAAAATAATGTAATATAATCAGCATTATCAAATTTAATTTATATGTGATTGATTTTTGCAATTTATAACTTTTTTTTAGTTAAGTCAGAGACGACGGATGGACAAAATCCTGCACGCAAAAGCACTAATATCTATTCCTATTTTTAAGTTAAACTCACTTATCATAAAACTTTGTGAAAGTTTATTAAACTTAAAGTATGATTTATTACAATTTCAAAATATGCCAATCGAACACAAAAAACAATTATTTCATTCAGCTAATGTATACAATGCATCCACATGTTAAAATGTAAAACAAATATGTAATTTATTCATCATCGCAAATCCATGTAAGAAGAGTTCAACGAATGTGCATTTTCAATATAACACCATATCGAATTTTCGAAATTCTCCGAGGTCATTAATACACAAAGTTACTAGAATTGCCACAGGATAGTGCATTGACTGCAACTTTTTTCAAAAATGCATCACTATAATAAAAGTATGTAACAATCTAAATATAATATGCGTACAAATTCAGGCAACAACAAACAAATCTAATTTCGTATTCGTATTCAGAATGCATTTTCATGATGTGTCACAGCAAAAAATCAAATATCGGCTTGTATTGTTCTTACAAGTCATTTGCATTTTTGGGTTTGCAGACGGCCACGGCGCTCTTTGGGAAGTCGTGGTAGTACAGTCATAGACCTATTTCATTTATTCAAAATCATTTCTTTGAATTAAATTATTAAAATTCGAAGTAAAGTTCTTTCTAACACTTTTGACCGCAGAAGTAATCGAACAGTCATATAATGAAAATATAGAAATGAAATGGTTCATCTGATGATTCAGATATTAATCACTAAATAGGCACCCATGGTAAAAGATAATTGAATTTCATTTATTAACTTCCCGTAGGATAAGTTATTGTAATCGTCCAAAAATCGAAATTGATTTTTTTTTCATTTCTTCACGTTTTGAAGGTTTCTGAACATTTTGGCATACCTCAGAAAAAATGGATGTGTGTGTGTGTATGTATGGATACAATTTTTTGTCCACGTTTCCGGGCGCACGGATCAACCGATTTAAATGGTTCAAAAATATTCGATTTCTATTGATAGGGAGACGTGCTGATTAGTTTTTGGCAAAGGCAAGTCTAGCAG